TAATGGAAACACTGCAGTTGTGAAACTGTGTTTTTCAACATTAACAGAATATCGACAAAGTTTTGTGCACATTTGTAACGGAAACACAGCTAGTGTTGAGTTGTGGTGAGCAGCTGCTGTCCTGATTTATGAACTCTCCCACTATCCAACAGGGAATTCCCACAGTAGGGATGTTCCGGTTTATATTTACACTTGTAAGTAGGAAATTCCCACTTCCCAGTACAACTGGGCCATAGTTAAAGTAGTTGGTGAAAATGCTGCGAAATAGAGATTTTACAAGGTGAATTTCACCAGCTGCCACTATAGTCCATCCTTTTTTGGTCCATTTCAGGTTGGCTAATTTTTGAAAAGGTACATGTCTAAAGATGATATTTTGGTATGATAGCACTTCCAGAGCGGTAGCTAAATCACAGCTATCAGCTAATAAAAAAAAGCTTAATAACCCATTAAGAAAACTTCTGTTTTTGACACTTTTGTATAGTTTAGGCTCATGATACGGACATTGATCAAAGGTTTATAATATTGTGATATAATACTACGTTTGAACCCTGTGTACCCCCATCTACTGCTGGGATGCCATCAGTGTGTAAGTAAAATAGTCATGCATTTTGTTTGATGTAGTTTATGGTTAATGTTGACTTTAAAGCAGCTTATTTTAATATAATACAATCTTTGAAGCTCTCTCAGGCCAAATAAAATGCCATGGCGGACCACATTTGGCCCTCGGACCTTGAGTTTGACACGTGCAGTAAAGCTTTAAAATATGCAGAGTTGTAAAGTAACTAAGTACAAATACTTTGTTACTGTACTTACGTATAATCGTTGTGTAACTGAATTTTACTTGAGTAATTATTTTTAAGCCTACTTTTTACTTCTACTCCTTACATTTTTTTAGATGTTTATTAATTTCTTTAAAACAAATCAATTCTATGTACAAATATAGAAAAAATACACAAATACAATGAAATGAAAGGAAACAGAGAGAAGAAAAATACATTTTTTAAAGGTAAGAAGTAGAAAGTTGTTTCTCCTATTTTGTTTCAGCTTTTTAGTGTTAAAAAATACTATCCTGATAAATAGTGTCTCCAGGATAGAGTGACTTTAATTTTAGTTGGATGAGAAGTATAAATATACAAAATTCTGATACTGTATTAATTTTTACACAATTTGTCACAACTGCATGTTTTTAGAAAAAAAATTTTTTTTGAAGAGGTCACCTCCCAATCAGTGTTGTATAAAGTACTACAAAGTGATACTTGAGTAAAAGTACAAGTATCTTACAAAAAAAAGACTTTGGTAAAAGTTAAAGTCTCCTTTAGGAATATTACTTGAGTAWAAGTCTTAAAGTATGTGATATTTGTTGTAGTTAAGTATTAAAAGTCAAAGTA